TTTTTCAAAAAATGAATAATGAATTAGTATATGCCACTCGATCAGTGGCTTGATTATCGATCAACAAGAGAATCTCAGCTTTTATCCCATAATATCAAACGATGAAACCTGAAGCTGTGATAAAAAAGCATCGTCTGACAACCAAGTCTTCATTGAGTTTCATCGAGTTTAATCCAAATGAAAAATAATATCTGTCAATTTAATCATGTCGTTAATCCCATTATGATATTACATTAGTTAGAAATGACTTTGATACTGATATTATAACAGGTAGATTGTGGATTGCATTGATGGGGAATTATTCTGATTGATAACATATGGTACATTCATTTATTTTACATTCAATGGTGACTCAGTTTGTCAAAATTATCAAAGCATGAGCTCAAACTACAGCTATATCAGATGTCAGTGAAGTGCTCGTGTTATTAATCATGGATAAATGCGAGAAATGTTGCTCTCTCTCTCTCTCTCTCTTTGTCAGTATCAGTGTTATTTCTGACAGAAATATTTCTTTGGTCTTAATGCTTTCAGATAAGTAGTGCTTCTTTGAAAAAAAAAATATTCTGATTCGTTTTTTCATTCCTCTCTCTTTCACCCTTAAACGTTGATAGTTTATCTTTACTCGAGCATCACGTATTATTGAAAGATCAGTTGTCTGCCTATCTTTCTAATATATTCAAAACTATTCTTTTTTTTTTGCCTTATTTCATATCTATCTCGTATTCATTATATGCGAAAATTTGTTGTCATTTCTAAACATTCAGGAAGAGTATTACAACAGTCATATTACTTGACCCCAGATTTACGACCGTATGTTGTCCTATACGGCAATCGTATCCGTCCGCCGTATATGACTGTTTAGGATCGTGCTTTTTCAACCCGAACAAAAGTCAATTACATAATATGATAGTGAATCGTATTTAAATTTCATTATGAACTTTATGTATGTTAGAGGCTGTCGAATCATTTCTACTAAGCACATTGTGCATTCTTTAAATTTGTTAGTAGTCAGAAAAAGTTTATGAACAATCATTGCATGCATCGACGTCTATAAGAAGCTTGAACAATGGTTTCAGTCTATAATATGGAAATTTTTGTAAGTCTTTTAAGAGAGAAGACAATGTATCTGTTAAAAGATGAAGACTAACACTCGTTTGATCATCTGAGATTCATTGACATTCTTGAAGTTTTATCTTTCATGTAGTACATCATCGCATGACAATAGATAAAAATATAAATTGCATATTTCATGATCTGAAAATGACATCTGAGAGAATGAGTTTGTTGAAGTACGATATCTTCGATTGATACATATCCATGTTCCATGAAATTAAAAGTAGATGGTCACATGTCTTCGATTTTGTTTATTTATTTATTCAATGATCACTCGAATTTATCAATGCATCTTCGATTGAAAATCAGATCTGATCTGGTCCCATCTTCATCTTTATCACTAGGTAGTTGTCTTCTTAAAATTTACATTTTATTGCTTTGTTTTATCTTTAGTCAAATATAGAACAATGTTCAGTTGTGTCATGAAAAATTTATTCAATAATCAAAACAATAGTCATCATACAGCTTCTATCAATATCTATGTGCTCATTTGTCTTAGTAATATTTAATCAATTTGAAATGAATAAAAAACTAACAACGTTATATTCTGCTGTCTAATATCTGTACTAGAATTAACGAAAAATGGATATAATCTTAATAACTCGACAACAACAACAGCTAGTGATCGGGTGGTTTTCAATAATCGCAAGAGAAGAACTCCGGACGTATTTTTATCTGACACTAAATAAGATGAAATTATTTCAAAACCCATCATCTTCGCAAAAAAAACACATGAAAACGATGCTTTGTTTGAAGGAAATTTGATAACATAGATACGGAATTTTGTTTATTGAACATTGAGATATGAGAATATAATCACCTAAATCGAGCCTTGAAGTATAGATCTGAAGCACATGTCAAAATCACAATTACATCGAAGCATAGCACCATTTACATGGATTTTTAAAAAATTTTTGCGAACATAAAATGTGTTGTTAAATAATTATCTTACATAGCAACAGATAAAAAGGCATTCGTAGTTCACTTCTTTCGATTATTGAAAATCGTAGGTTCCTAACTGTTGTTTTTATCGCATTATTAAGGTAACACTCAACTATCTTTAATTCTGACACGGGCATTAGCATTAAAATTCAATGAAAATTTCTTTTTTTTTTTTGTTGTTGTATCTATTTAATTATTACATTTCATATTATTTTTAGATATGAATTCTTTGAATGGTTTAAATTCAGTCGAACTTTTCGACGATATTGATCATCTTCTCTTTTTGTGTGATCGTCTCAGTAATCGTTTACTTCAAGTTAATTCCTATGTTGATGAAGTTAAACAAACATGGATAAATAAACGACGTTCAATCGAATTAGATTCTAATATCTCACCACTTGTTGCTCAAAAAGTATCAAAATGTAATCAAGTTTTATTAAATGTTGCTGAAAAACTTGCAATTGTTGAACTTCAAACAGAATCATTACATAATCTTCAGTCTTCAATTACAAATATAGTTCCAACTACTATTGAAAAACATGAAGGTAAATCAAAAAAGAAAAAAGAAAATAATTAAACTTCTAATAATCATTTTAATAACTTTCTACAATATTCTAGTATGTCCTTCAATGTCATCTATTAATCAACTATCAGTACGTGCTCCTTCATCTTTTGTACAAGGGGCTAATGTTAAAAATGAAACTGTCAATACTGGATTTCTTTCACAACGAAATATGTCTTCTAGTACAGGACGCTCATTAAATGATCAACAAGTTGGTTTTAATTTTCAAAATCCATTACATGTTGCTACAAATTCAACAATAAATACATTTACACCAAGAAATACAGCAACATTATTTCAAGAAAAAGTTCCAGTAAAACAACAACAACAACAACAACAATTAGAACAACTTCAATCACAACAACAATCTGCTTTTCATCTACCATTAACTGGTCAAAAAGATATCGGTTTTAATCAATCGAAAGTTTCATCACCAAATCTACTCATTTCACAAATATCGGATTTTCCAACACTACAAAAATCAATGCCAAATGGATCAATGAATGGTTATCAACAACAATCATCGAATGCTATGATATCTCGTCCATCAGCTCTGTCAGATACTTATTCATGTATGTACATAGAATAAAAAATAATTTTTTTTTTATTGATTAATGTATTTTTTTTAAATTTTAGCACGAACATTACATGAATCCAATATAGTTAATGGTAAAGTTCGTGTTAAAATGCAAGTTATTAAAGCTAATACTGTTTGGCATAATGCTGATATACCAATTATTGATCATCCATCAGCATTTTTTGTTTGTAATCAAGATCCACGTGTTGCTGAACAATTTAGTATGTTGTCAATTGAGATAAAGTAAGCAATAAAGTATATATATAATAATAGTGATTTTCATCTTTTTTTTTTCTTTTAGCAATTATTATAATAAACCAGCTAATACAACTGTACCTTTGCAAAATCCATCGATTGGTGATTTTTGTGTAGCTCGTTTTAGTGAAGATCATCTTTGGTATCGAGCTCGAGTTGTTCTTATACAAGGTAATTATGTAATATATTCTATTATTCTAAAAATATTATTTTATTTTACTTTAGATGAATCCATACTAATTGTTTTCATTGATTATGGTAATTCAGAAACAAAACCAGCAAATGAAATTTATCCATTACAAGAATCATTAGCTCGTTTACCTGCTATGACTGTTGCTTGCACATTAGCTGAAGTAAGTTGTCTTTTCTTTTCTTTTCTTTTTTTTGATTAACTTTTTTCTTTTATGCAATTAATTTTATAGTCATTTCCACGTAATGAAAATTTTTGGACACCAGAAGCAACTCAGATATTCAGTACACTCGTAAAAAATCGTATCCTTGAAGTTCAATTTCAACAATCCATCGGTCAACAATGGTACATATAAATTTTTATCATATGAATTTTGTTTCATTGTTTTTTTCTTTTATATTAGGCCGCTTCATTTTGTTAAAGTTATTCTCGATGGACAGGTAAGTAGTAACATCCGTTGTTTTTTTATATATGTAAAATACCTTTGAAAGATATTCTTTTCTTTTTAACTTCTTAGTCGATTACTCAACATCCGAAAATGACACCATTTATAACGCCAGCTCAAAATGAAGAAATTGCAATGCATTTTAATGATAAACTTACATCAATGGAATATATTTTGTATAATGTAGCAGTTGGTGAATCAGATATTTATAGTGATAGTAAGTATAATAAATATAGAATTTAATATTATTCTTATTAATTGAATATTCTTCATTTAGCTCTTCCATGATAAACTGAATAACATATTTAGTTAACGATATCTAATCAATTGAAAACATTCAAAAATTTGTATTGTTTTTCTTTGTTGTTTATTAAAGATAACATGGTGAATAGGTTGTGATTTCATACATCGCAAAATGAAAACTTAGCTAATAGATATTAGTGGGTTTTCTGTTTGTCTTTTGTCTTGTGTTATTTTTCTTTCTTCAAAGTACTTTATTGTTTTCCATATATACGTATGTGTATGTTTATGTTTATGTTTGTGTGTATGAAACATTTATCTCTTGTTTATGTTCTTGAAAGCACAGCTTTCCCATTCACGAAAAAATAAAAAAAAGGAGAATGTAGTTTTCTATTTTTTGAAAAACAAAAATATCAATATGTTGTAAAGCATTATTTATCATCATCAACTGCATGTCTAATGAGGTATACTGCTCGATGAAACATTATTTGTTTTTACAATAAAATGACTACATACACATATATATATATCATGCATCATCAATCTTCAATAATAGACTCAATGAACACATCTTGTTGTACGTGCTTTTTATTATCAATGTACTTCAAAAATATTCACAATTTTGACACGTTCATAAGTCATAAATATCCACAACAACTTTTTGCATTAAGTTAACATGAATCGAGTGTTGGTATTATTACCCATCCTGTTCATTTTAATAAATCATCAGTAAGTAAATTGTACTAGTCTTCTTTTGTTTGAAAAGACTATTTTATAAATTATATTATCTTTTTTTTTGTTGTTGTTAAGTATGTCTGTGAATACATGCGAAACATGTCATCCTACTAAAAATACATGGTTTCATCGAAATGCTCTTTTTCCGTTGATCGTCGCTGGTACTGATTCTAATATTTATTCTCCAGCATCTTCAATACAACAGTCACCAAATGAACGAAAAATTCGTTTTAAACATGTAATTTTTAGAGGTGATCCACGAGAATTTCTCGGTTAAAATTATGGAATTGAATTAAAATAAAATTTCTTATTGATAATTAGCACCATCTATCGTTTAGTTAGCATGACTATTTTTTTTAAATGAAATTCATATTAATATTTAAGATATCTGAGTTTTTGTCATTAATATTGATGAATAATAGAAAGAAAAGTGCATTTTTCTAATAAATTTATGGATTTTCAAGAATTATATCTGATAAATAATTTTATTGGTGAATCAATCAAATAATGGCTTCACGCTTATACATTTGTTCCGCAAAAAAAAAGGGTATTTTATGAATTTTAATATCAATTCTGCTTGTTGATCACTAAAAATATTAATAGAAACAATGTACAGTAGCATATTATTTGAATCGAAATTAAAACATTAACGATATTCTCTTAGATAATGTTCTTGATCATATAACTGCAGTCCTATTGAGTTGTATTCTTTGAATATGATCTACTTGCTTGGGGCAAGAACTAATAAAAACAACTGTCAAATGTTGAACATCAACAAAAGCTGATTTAATTAGTCAGTCATACAGCAAAATATTTTTTTTAATTTCACATGTTCTAAAATATACTCTTTTTGTTCTCTTATAGATTAGTTAGATTTTTTTAATCACTCAATAATGACAACTTAACCACTGTACTAATTAGACAATCCTATTGTGATATAGACATGGAAACAACAGAACTCAATACAATCAATCAATCTCAACTCAAGGGTATGCAAGATATACTAACATAGTTTTCGTCGATTGACATTTTACTATGACTGTGACACAAACAGAATATTAACAAGTTTTTTTTTTAATTAGCGAAAAAAGTACATTTAAAAGTTCCTTCGTTTAACATACATTTAGTGTAGCTCGTTAAGAGACAATTCAGAAATCAGGCATCCCTCAGAGACAAAATCATGGATATGAAGTATATTTCTCATGATAATACTTATTATAGAAACTTGATTAATATTCATAAACTACAATCATTTTCACGAATCACTACAGTATAATCTAAAATGTTCAAATCTATACAAATACTTTTTAGTGTTGAAAATGGATCTTCTCAATATGACAAAAGACAAGATTTCGATCATCACTTCTTCGATATGGTACTATTTTTACAAAATCTAATATTAATATATTAAAACTAAGATATTCCGTTCGTTTCAAGATGCACACAGTCAAATACGCAAACTACAGTGGACATTATTGATTACACGGTCGATATACTTGGTATAACTATATCACATAATTAATGATACAATGTGATTCTTATTGTCATTTATACAACCCATTTTTGTTTCATTCAATAAAAGCTTAAAAAAACTTTTTTATGTTTGTTGAACTATATGTGAGTGCATAATGAGTTTTAATATAGTGTTATTTTTCTCTCTCATAGTAACTATATATATATAGGATATTATCAAGAGAAACATGAAATGTTGCGTGTTAAAAATTTCATTAGAGTTCACACACATTTGTTAGTGGATTTTCAGTTTAAGACTAATCGACCAGTCTATAGAGACTCTTTGTAAATAGAAGCGCACTGTAATATACTAAAATGTCCTGAAAGATGAAAATTTCGCATTAACCTCTGTGTCTTGAACATGAAGACATGTTTTTAAAAATTTTGCTATACAGATGATTCGTAACAGAAAAACATTGTTGCAAGCTTTTGAACCGGTAGAAACATAGAAGAAAAAATATATGTTCCAGAAAGCCAGAATCGTTAGTGCATAACTGTGATAAATGAGCCGTGAAACAATTCTATTACAGTACATTATTGGTAAGCTAGATGTGTAGTGTGTATTAAAATGGTTGAAGAACAAATTACTAAAGCAAATAATAGTGATCTACTATATAGAAAAAAATATATATGATCGCCATTTTTTTAATACAGGAGAAAGCCGTCTCATGATCGCTATGCGTGAATAATAAATAACTAGTCGCCTGTTCTATTCGACCGACCCGTCTATAAATGAATCGATACTTATACATACACGTAAATAGCTTCGAATGTAATCATCGTTTAATCTTGAATTGTATCAATAATCAGTATTGATTTTTGAAGTGGCGTATAAACAGATATTATAGAAGATCTGGAGCAGTTCGAATTTCTAGCATTATACATACTTATATATATATAGTATTTTATGATCGTATTGGATTTCAGTCGAAATCGTTTCTATTAGCTATTTGACTTTAGCATAATAATTTTGAATTCACATCATTGACTATCCGATGATTTTTTATTGTAGAAGTTCAATAGTTATTCAACATCAAGAACCAATCAAAGCTGTATGACAATACAATAACGATTTGATCTCTCATCATGATCATGCATCATCGATCTTTATTCAATTATCTATCCAACAACAAGTATTTCAGCAACTTCATAAAAATATCGAGTTAGTTTTCGAACATTTTCAAATTTTGGTAGGTCCTTAAATTAAAAGAATTTCATTCAATATAATAATTGATATTGTATGATTTTTTTTAGTGAATTTTATAAAACGACATCAAAAAATGAATGATCTTCGACAACTTGTCAGACCGATGACTTTTATATAGTTCATCACTTGAATAAGAGTATGAACAATAGTGAATTTCATCAAGCTCGTATTCTTCAAATTGATCGACATCGTAAGACAATTATACATTTAGTAAATTATATCAGAAATTACTAACGATCTTATTTTAGGTTCACGTTCTCATTAAATTCAATTTTTTTTTCTCAATTTTGGATGTTCTAAATGGACAAAGTTAAAATATCTTTGTCCTGTACAAGCATAATTTGCTCAATTACCAGCAAAAGTTGTTTCATATTCGTTTGATACAGTAGGTATTTGAAATCATAAGTTTATGATAGATTCTATATTAGATAGGGAATAGTTATATTTAAAAGTATGCGAATCAATTTTGTAATAAACAAAATTAAAAAAAAGTTCGATATTAAGTGAAGCACAGTATAAGAAAACTGTTTAAAGCATAACTAAGACAAATAGAACATATGCAAATTGAAAAACTCTTATGAATATATTTTGAAAAAGACGCAGATTATAAAAAAAGAACCAACCTTAAAATATTTTCTACTCTCTACTATTATTTAATTGTTGTCCTTGTTAGAGAGTCTTATAATAAATAAAAATTATTTCTTGTCAAAAAAAAAAGTTTTTCAAGGTTATTACTATTACCAGATGCCATAAAATATATTTATCTTACAATTAAAATAGTATTTTCATAGCTCACCATATTTCTATATTTACACATCATCAAGTAAAAAAAATCGAATTGTAGACTTGTTTTTGCATTATTCGAAAATTAGTAAATATATATATAATATCTCTCGTACTAAGCAAACAGAACCAACATATATAATGATGAGTAATTATGTACATTTTACAACTTACATGAATTGTAAGTGCACATATCCAATGACATATTGATCAGATGAAAAAGAATAATAGAAGAAAAAAAACTATAGACTACAAAAATATGCCTGATCATGATTATGATAATTTTTACTTAATGAATATACATATTTGTTGAATATTTTAGGTGATACTATTAATAATAAACGACGATGATAAACAACTTAGAAGTTGATCAATAAATATTGGTCAATTAGCTACAGAAAAATTATATTGATTATTTAATATGAATAACAATTCGTCTAGGTTTTGTTTTGATTATATATATATATATATATATGTTTTTCTAAAGATATTAATTGTTTCTATACAAGTTTTAATCTATCTGAAATTAAATAATATCGTTTTTTTTGTTCAATAAAAATTAAATTTTAAAACTTTTAGATTGCATTTTTTCATTATGAACGAACAATTGATTGATAATGCTTTTATCAAGAAATCAAATGAATATAAACAATCAACATTATCACCATTGACCGATATGGCCGATAGTGGTGTTGTTAGTCGTATAACACCATTATCATCAATAAATGAAAATAAACTTAACATAAATCATTATAATAATAATAATGATGATGATGATGATGAGTCAATAACAACTGAAAACCAAAGTCTTTCATTTAATTTAACTGATATTAGCAAACGTAGGCGATTTGTTTTATCTTTTTCAATACATGTTGATCTTTTTTTTCTGCATAGCGGTACTTAAATATAAAAAATGTGAAGAATATATGCAATATTCAAATTGTCTAATAACTTATCTCGATCATCCATCTGCTATATTTATTCAAATACCTGAAGATGGTTCTGCTTTTCAACAAATGCATCAAGATATGAAGTAAGAATTTTCTTTGGTATTTATTATTATTATCTCTGCTTTTTTACTATTGTATTAACAGTCGATTTTATATGGATAATCTAAATGCATATTCAAATATTTCAATAAATTTTTTTGAAATAGGCAATTTTTGTGTCGCTTATTCATCTCAATATTTTGAATTCTTTCGTGCTCGAATTCTAAATATCGATCATAGAAGTATATAAAATTATTCTTTATAAAAATATAAACAAATCAATTTAGATAAACAATGTTTAATAATATATGTTGATTTTGGTAATTCAGAATGGATACATATTAAAGGTATTCGTCCTCTTCATGCTGAATATACTAAATTAAAAATTCAAAGTATTCCTGTAACACTTTCTTATGTATGTTTTTTTTCTTGTTATGTCTATTTTTCTTTTCGCTTTCATATTCATTTATAATATAGATTCTTCCAAAAAAAGATTTAAAAACTGGTGCAATCAATTGGAATGCAAATACAGGCAAACAATGCACACGAAATTTACGTCGATTGTTAATTAAACCTGACAGTGAGCCATTTTTATTTGTGTCTGTAACATTTCTATCGAAGGAAATTTGGTGGCCATTACCTTTTGTTGATGTTAAAATTGATGGTCAGGTAAATAAAAATGAATTTTCGAAAATTATGTTCAATGGCGACGTATGGTTTTTTTTAATTTCTATTTCTATTCATTTATCCGATAGAATAAATTCTAATATAGTAAATAGATTTGAT